ACAGATATTGCCAGTCAATACTAATATCTCAGTAATGTATTGCTATTGTGACATACCTAAAGCATTCGTAGGTCTTGAGATATATTTATGGTGATTCATTAATTTAAATTCATATGGGTTTTGCGGATAAGTGAAACTATTATCAATTTTTGAAATATTCGATGAGTACTATTGTACTGACTCCTTCATATGGCTCTGATCAAAACATACAGAATTTAATGTTATTTTTCCCTCTACTGAAAGGAGGGTATTACGCTGAGCAAAGTTCGCTTGTTCGTATGTCCGTTCATTCGCACAGAACGAAAAAAAGTTTTTTTGACCTATGATAGCGATCTTACAGCAAGACCATCTAAGGCACAGGATCAGTCTTTAATCCCCAACCTTCGGCCAACCAGATGAATTTTAATTGCATTTCAACCAATCAGATTTCAGGCGACAGATTTTCAGCCAATCATAGGTTTTCATGGTTTTTCTATGCGCCAATGGGATTTCGAGAATGGCCATGTCGACTAATCAGATTTTTTTCTGAGTCCGGCTCTGTGCCAATAACACTCTGAGAGTGGTCATTGAGGCTAACCATAGGTTTTCAGAATCTGGCTATCCACCGATAAGATTTCGAAAGCGGCCATTTGGACCAATCAGAATTTTTCTCAGTTTGGTTTTGCGTCAATGAGATTCTGAGAGTAGTGGCTTAGTCTAACGATAAGTTTTCACGACCTGGTTATGCACCAGTCGGATTTCGAGACTGATCATTTAGATCAATCTTGGATTTTAAACGTCTGACTACTCATTAGTGTGATTGTTAGTGCTGCGATGTTGAGGGGTCGTAAGTTTTTGCAATTGGAGCACTGAGACGTAGATTGGTAGTGTGAAGTGTTTAGGAATATAGTTATTCTTTGGTCTTAAGCGATCGAATTTCGATGTGTGCAGAATAAACAGATGAGATATTTCCACATTTTTTGGATGCGAAAGATTACGTAAAGATCCACGTTTCAATAGTTAGCTCTGAGGGAATGATCCGAGGCGACATGTCTTTTCTCTTAAAGGAAGGGTTATAAGCTAGGTGAATGACGTTCCTTCATATGTTTCTTCGATCCTATTACCCCTCCAGTGATTCTTTCTAGTTCCCTCTACTGAAAGGAGTGTATTACGCTGAACAAAGTTCGTTTGTTCCCTCTATTGAAAGGAGGGTAATACGCGGAGTGAGCTATCTTCGTTTGTTCGTATGTTTGACGAATAGAAAAGCAGAAGCATCAAATTAAATAAATTCTCACAATAGGTCATGAAAAAAACTTAGATCAAAGGTTGTCGGCGTCGAGAAATCCGATTCCGTTGCTAATTTTTTGACATTTTGCTTTTTTTAGGAGAGAAAGACTTTTGTAGAAAAAAAAGTTTTTTTTATAAGGGTTGATCGAAGGTAATAGTGGTCGAGGAACTGGAATCCGTGATTAGTTTGCAAAAATTATTAGTCAATTTTTCAATGAATAGAGAGGACTGAGCAGAGGTCTATTGCACAGAATGAAATCATCAGGTTTTCTTAAAAAGTAAAACAAAGTGACCAAAAACTGAGGAGTGAGTGGCATTTTGAACGCATTTAGGGATAGCAGAAGGACATTGCTAATGGTTATGATGTTAAAGAAATAAATTAAATTGATGCAAATACGATAACGGTGGTCACTTGGTAGAATATTCAATGCCTAATGATCTGGCATAGTTTAAGTAAGTTTATAATGCATTAAGAGATGTTGAGATCGTAACATTTTCGTGATAGAATTTCTTTGTAGTGAAGGTTTTCAAGAGTACAAGCCGACGATATTGATAAGGGTAGATTGTATCATATGTTAATATAAGATCTTAGTAGGAATAGGCGATAGGCAACTTATTGTGGAATTGATTCTCAATTTGACAATGGCTAGTCGTGAGTGGCGCTCCGGAGGGGCGCCAACAAGCGACTAGCCTCTCACATGCGTATGTCGTTGTTTCATTGCTTAAGACAAAATTAGTATTAAAATAAGTATGATTTTGTAGAATACTACGCTAAGGTTGCTTTCGTCAATCAGTTCAACATAACTCCATCCTCATAGATTATGCTTAAACCCTACGACGTTGAAAGTTTTTTATGGAAGTCTTCAGTTTATACTTGATATCTCAACTATTTTACTTGAGCACTAAGAATTTCGTCGAACTTAACAGCTAGAATTCCTTAGCAGCCCATGCAGGAACGTTCACAAACTGTATAAGTGCTCGAGAATCGTGCCTTATTCTTCTCAAAATTGTAAGGAATTTATCGCATATGCAGATGAACCATAATTAAATTAGTCCCATAACTGTTGTTATCGGATTTCTTGAAAGTTCTCTTGGTTTTCACCTAATAACTATCTAATGAAGCGAAGTTTCAATCAATCATGCAGTGTTTAAATAGGACACGTTCATCGCATATGTGAAACAAAATTGTAGAGGAGGCGGCCAGCCATGAGTGGCGCTCCAGCGGGGCGGCAACGAACGGCTAGCCGCTCAGTTAAAAATGTGTTATGATTCAAACTACAGGCCTTGCGGACTTATAGAAAAGTTACACGTTGTCTTGTTCAGAAAAGTTGAAACAATTATCAAAAATGGTAGAAACCTTCAAGTTCTTCCGAAGGAAGGTTGTGAAATGATTACTCAACTCGTGTGAAATATCTGAAACTTATATTTGTCGCGAATATCTTCATAAGTATAGTTTTTCCTGATTGTGAGTGGATTTGATTCAAAAGAAGTAACTGTTAGATCTCGGTATCTTTGAGCCTGCACCCGGAGATGTATATATGCATTAGAGATCGAAAATGTACCGAAACAAAATGAACCCAAACGGATTTGAGCAAAAATGAGGACAAATCTAACCGAAATCTAGTTAGAAAAATGCAGTTTGATTTGATCTCCGATCTGCTCGTGTACATTCATGTTAAATATCTAGTCTAAAGCCTAATTTAAGTTGTAGCTTTACTAAAACGGAGCATTTTGAGCATAGCTCTCCTGCACGGGCCTTTTTCTGAACACCATTGTCGAGCTGACTGAAAGTTTTCAGAATATAGCTTGAGCTACAGCAGATCTCATGCACTTAACTTCACTATCGCCATTTAGTATTAGTAAGTAGTACTTAAATGCAGTTTTCTTGGTGATACTTTCAAGCAGGTTTTCTATTTATGCTTGGTTATCAGTCGTTTTTTCCATGACAATCTATGCGCAGCTATAAAATGTGAAGTCTCTCAGCTAGATAGCTTTGGATAGCTACGTTCTATATGAGAGCATTCTTTCAGTAGAGGGTTGGCGACGCTAACATCGCGTTACCTTGTGAGGTATTCAAGAATGAGAAAATAGAAGTCATATTACAGAAGAATGAGTATAGAATGATAAATAGCTTCCACACACATATTCTTTTCAAGAGCATCTTATCTACATTGACTGTGGCACTGTTATTAATGATGCGCCCGCATAACCAGGTGGAGGAAGAAAGAGTGAGGCCTATACAGACAAGTGTAGGATTCATGTGTCGTCATGTATTGCGTACTCTTTCTCTCTTATTCGACTCACTATACAATAATGTTACAAGATGCCACTGACTAGGACGAGCACATTAGTTTTTAGATTTAAAAAAGGCATTAATAGTCTTCATCGCCACAATGATCAGTGAAACAAGTGACGAGGAGCAATGGTTTGACTGTATGGAGCCATCATCTTCGTTATTACAAGACAACATTCCTCTAAGTGTATTCACAAGATTTAGTAATCTAAAACAACATTCAATACGCGATTTAAATGAGGATAGTGTCACATTTATTTGGCACCAAGTATTGCTCAACGTGCTTCTTCATTTTCCTCGATCAGCCGAAACGAAAAGCGACTTTATTGAAGTAAGCCGACAATTATACAAAGATTCTCGAGCAGTACTAGATCAGATCGATCTATTTGAACGCGAATATACATGTGATAAAGCCATCAAATGGTATACAAAAGATTCGTTTGTCTATCGTCTATTTAATCACGCTTGTCGAGTACAAGATATTGATATCTTATTTCAGTTTCGCTTTATGATACAAGATCTTGATGAGCAATTGAAAGTGTTGAATACACAGCAGAGAGCAAATGAAAAGCTCACATTTCCGTTTACTGTCTATCGTGGTCAAAGTCAATTAGGTGATGGAGAATTGGATAAGATTCGTGCGAATGCTGGCAATGGCCTTATATCCATGAATACATTCTTATCGACTACAAGGAAATCATCAGTAGCTTCTGTTTTCGCTGGGAGCGATAACAATAACTCTGTACTCTTTCAAATTACTGTAAATAGCGACGATAGACAGGGACAATACCCTCAAACATTTGCATATATACACGAGAAGAGCACTATGGCTGATGAAGAAGAAATACTTTTTGGTATGTCATCTGTATTTAAAGTTATATCCGTGGAGGAGTACGATTCATTTCATGTTGTGGAGTTGGAGCTTGCCCATTGTGAAGTCGATGAGAATCTTCAAATTTTTATAAACGAACTCAACGCCAATCGAATTCAATCAAATATTAGTAAAATCAATCTTAGTACTCGATATTGTGAATTGGTCGAAGATATATTAGCTGGAGGTAATCATAGCTGCGAATTGAGCAATCTTCTAGTAAGCGATGAAATCCGATTACTTGTCGTTGACATGTGCAGGGGATTTGGTTTTAGTGAACGTTTGATCGAATCAATCTGGAATTTTTTAGAAAGAGCTTTAAAAGTATTGGAAGAGCTCAATTTCGATCTGATTCAGAATCCCGAATTCAGGCATGCATTCGAACAGCAGAAACAATACGGTTATTTCAGGAAAAGATACCATATTAATAATAATATTGCTTCTTTCTGGGACTTTTGCTCGCTTCTATTACTAATCGGTGAACCAGATAAAGCCATTCAATACTGGCAGATGCTTTTAAGTCAAGAGAAGACGCTCGATGCTATTTTACAGATTGAATTAAACATTGGAATGGGTGTTTTATATAGGCAAGTGAGAAAGGACGATTTAGCATCGAATGCTTTCAACACAGCCTTACAAAAAGCTGAAAATAATGCACTTTCACAAGATTACAAGTCCAGCATTCTTTCTAATTTGGCCTTGTTAATGTTTCAAACTGGTGATTATAAGCGTGGTTATTCTATTCTCGATACACTGAGATCATTAGAACACGTTGAAAATAACGAAGAAAATGAGTGTGGCAATTTATACAATATGGCTCTCATTCGATTTCACCAAGGCGATTTTATCGGAGCTCTGAATTATTTTGAGGAAGCATTGAACAAAGCGAAAAACATCACATCTGGACAACTTCTTATGATATCCATTGATCAAAATATGGCTCTAGCACACTGTCGATTAGGTAACATGCAGCAAGCTAGACAAGCATGTGAACAGGCTGAAAAAATGATGAAAAAGTACTCACCATCGACTCATCCTACATTGGCTGATCTTTATCTCACTTATGCAATAGTGCTATTTGAAAGTGGCGAATCATATCATCAACAATCACTAGAGTATCTAGAAAAAGCTTTAAGGATTGAGTCTGTATCAACGGACTTCGATTTACGAGCTCGCATTTATAATGGACTAGCTGGCATCTATACTCAATTTGGCGATACTGATCGTGCATTGGACTATTGTCGTCAAACTCTTGCGCTACGCTCTTCTTTGGCCACAGACGTTTTAGGAGATGTTTATATGAAAATGGCTCAGATTTATGCGAATTCTGGGGATGACAAATATGAAGAAGCAGTTGAGTTGATGAATGAAAGTATAACTCTTTTTTCGAGCGTTCTACCTGATCATCATCCACGTCTAGCCTTTGCACATCACCAGCTTGCTGTGATATATGCGAATTGGGGAAAAGAGCCAAATAAAGCGTTGGGACACTTGGAAAAGGCTTATGATATTGCTCATTATACACTTCCTTCTAACCATCCTCAAATAGCTATGCTTGAAAACGATATTCTCACTGTTTTCGCGCAAATGTTAGAGAGGCGCATAGAGAAACTTCTGCTCACAGAGAATGAAGATTTTAAGCAAGCTATGAATACTATAAAAACATTTCAAATGAATTTATTTGATTCACTTTTGAAAGGATTCGAACTACACGAACAACCATCAGGTAACGAAATCCTTGACCAGTTGCCAGATACAGCAAACATTATTCAAGCCATGCATACGTTTTGTGAGCACATTTTTACTGACGAAATAGCAGCTACATTTGGTAACAACGATCATGATACTGAGAGTGGTCGCATTTTTCAAAGTTTTATTAAGTTAGCCAAGCAATGCCACTACCTACATGATGATGAGCAAACTGAAAAGCATTGTCTCAAAACCGGCAGGCTCGCAAAATATGAGAACTCATCTTTTGTACATGACTCTTTCGCACGAGAACTTATCAAATACGACGATGAGAACAATCCTGACCATGCGCACGTTATCGCTACACCATGCACACTAAGGAAAAGCATTGACACATTCCAAAAGACTTCGTTGTGTTCTTCGACTGTCTTTTCTGACACTGACGCTGGAAAAACACTGTCACCTACAATTGAAGTAGGACCTGCTCTTGAAACGCCTAAACAGGATATCACTCAATATGAGAAGTATATAAGACTTGGTGATGTATTGCGCCATCGACAGGAGTATGAACAGGCACAAGTCAACTATCGGAAAGCAGTCGCAGCAATTGAAAACGCAGACTCCAATTCGTCAGAGAACTTGCTGATACAAGCATATGTGGCAATGAGCAAAATTAGTAGTGGAATTGAAGCCATCGACTCATCACTGCTTGAGTTTTTCACGCACGAACTTGGCAAATTTGATGATACGAACAATCTCAGTCACCTTCGAATCGCTGCTGTCTTGCATAAACTCATAGGCAACATAAGAACATCACAGAATGACAGACAACTAGCTTTTGAAAGCAATCAACAAGCTGGTTATTTGCGCATGCGTTTACTTCTTCGTGATGCCCTATCATTTGACCATGCAACCATTATAGATATGTTGATATGGCTCGATGGACAAGTACTTGGCGGAATTTCTTCGCTGCTATATCAAGTTGAACAAACGCTTCGAGACTTGACCAGGCTTTTTACTGCTGATATTCGACAATTTCTTTCAACATTTGTGAGTCTTGATCTTCTAATGGACATTGCCAATTTGATATATCATCCGCAAATCGATATAAAGATTGCCCAGATAAAAGCTCAGTATGCTTGCATGGAGCCATACCAATCAATCTATCTCTGTCTCGATGCTTTGTTGCTTTTTCTCCGCCAATGCATAACGCCATGTACTCATCCAAAATTGCCAACTTTTCAAGATCAATTGTTCAAATTTCTCACCAAATATGAAGATGACAAGTTTCCTTCTTTTTATATAATAAGAGCGCTGAAATGTTTGGTTGGTGGCGATCGAGAAGAAGCCATTGCATATTTGGAAAAATATTTTGATCCACGCATAACTGGAATGAACGTGTTCGATTATGATGAATTTAAAAAGCTATTAGGTGACAACTATCATGCATTATTAATAGACTTTGAAGAGGATATTGTGACGGTTTTAGATGGAATAGGCAATGCTTAAAAGTTATTCCGCTTGTCCACGTAACGCGACACTTCAGGCATTAAGTTTTTTTCTCAAAACTTTGAATAAACGCTTATGTCATGTTGTAGAGCATGTTCGAAAATGTACGAAAATATATTTTCCTATTCAAGAAATTATTTTTGCGAATCTTAAAATATGTATACATTAATTCACAATTATCACACCATTGATAGCAATTTTTTCTCTTCTACTTCGAAACCAATCGTACATATTAGTAACAAGCTTCGAACTCTCACTCTTAGGTGTTCTGTAAACTATCATAGGCGACCTTTCTTTTGGCAAACGAACCAACTTTTGTACTATCCTTCACCTTGAGATATTCCTAATAGGGTGTGGGTGTGATAAGAAATAATCGCCGTTCCACGACACCAGTTCTTTCTGTCTTGGCGGAACTTGGTCCGGTGGATTTAACTCAATATTATACCGGGTGATCCAAAAGTTTTGCAACATTTTGAACTTTCTTTTTCTACTAACTCGCGTTAAAGATTCTTGTCTTATTGCTTCATGGTTCAGTAGGCATTCATGTCCATATCACACTGATAGGTCATTATTTCTATATTATTTTCTTTATTAAATTTCAGATGGTTAAAAGCAACGATCTTCGAAGTGTAGCAATTTCCCACTTTGAAAGTGGGAAAATGGCTCCGGAAATCGCAAGATTATTAGCAAATAAGGTTGATCAAGTCACAATACATCGCTGGCTATGTCGTTATAAACAATCTGGTTCGATTAGTGTTAAACCAAAGTCAGGAAGACCAAGAACTGGAAGGACAAAACGGCTCATAAATCTAGTCAAGACAAGACTTGATTCCAACGTTCGTCGAAAAAGTATACGAACCATGGCGAAGGATTTCAAAAGTACATATGCTACCATCAGAAGGGTGCTTGTGGAAGATTTGGAAAAGAAATGTTATCGAAAAATTAATGTTCAAAAGTTGAAACAAGATCAAAAACCAATTAGAAAACAATGTTGCACATGGATCAGAAAGAACATTGATCGCCGCAAAGTGGAAAATATGACGTTTACAGATGAAAAAATATTTACAAAAAATGGTTATTTGAATCCTAAAAATGATGTTGTATGGGCTGACAGTCGGTGTGATGCTAATGAACGTGGTGGCGTTCATGAAAAAGAAAAATTTCCAGTGTCCGTCATGATTGCATTGGGAGCAACATGGAACGGACTTACGGAACCGTATTTTTTTGAGAAGGATAAACGGTTAAATGGTAAGATGTATTGTGAAGAATTGCTACCGTTTTATAAGGAGGAAGGTAAACGGTTATTCGGACATCAAAATTGGGGCTTCCAACAGGATGGGGCAAGCTCTCATACTGACTGACGGGCACAAGCATGATGCAAAAAACAATTTCAAGTTCTTCATTCCGCATCAAAAGTGGCCCCCCGATTCACCAGAGCTTAACCCATTAGATTATTCAATCTGGGATAGGATATCAAGTCAAATGGAATACAAAAAAGTAAAAACCGTCAAAGATCTACGTCGAGAAATTCGAAAATCGATCAAGAAGGTTGACATTACTTACTTGCGGGAAGTGATTGGTGCTTTCCTTCGAAGAGTGTATTCTGTCGAAAATCACGAAGGTAAACTAGTCATTGACGAACATTGTTGATTCTATTAGTACCTTTATGTAGCTTTATGAACACTATATTGTTATACTTTTATTTTGTTCTTTTATCAATAAAGTTAACTTTTTGAAAATGTTACAAAACTTTTGGATCACCCGGTATCTATATAGGAATATAATTCATAATAATATGAATTACAATGGAATTATATTGTGATAGATACAATAATTAAATTTCATCTACCCAAGTAAAATTTTCACCACATGTATATATTGACTTCTATATTCTATGAAGATTACAGTTTAAAGTTGATTGTACTTGAAAATTTTACTTGTGCAAATAAAAGAGCGGGGGCGCATAACAAGCCAAATCAGCCCAGTCTGAAATTTCAGTTAAAAAGTAATCAGACTTAAGTAAAAATATGCGCCCAATCGTTTAAAGACAATTTGAAGTGAAATACATTGAGTCCTTCAGCGGAATAGGTCACTAAAGAACTCTTATCGATAGTCTTCTATCCAGGTTCCACCAAAGGATAACAAAATAACTGTAATTGCTATCGACGAATAGATTTTTGACCTTCTATCCATATTATGAGAGAGAGGACTTTAAATTGCATATGCTCCCGTAAGCGTACTAAAAGTATCACAGACAAACGTAACTTTTCCAGATACCACTTTTCGCTTTAAATGGTCTATAATCAATAAAAGGCGATGCTCCTTTATGTTTTGACGAATCGTGTTCTCTTATTGTTCATTTAAAACACTTTCGTTAACATGCCAATCGATAGAGCTTGCAGAGCTCTACAGAATGAGAGTTTATAAGAGAAAGAGAATGCGGTTTGGGCATTCTGAGAAATCAAACAACTGCACATATGGAGATAAATGTTTGCTGTAGAACTGAGAATTCAGAGAGAAAAACTTTATTTTTGAATTGTTTTAATCTCAAATGCAAAGAAGAATTGTCGATTTGTTAGGATATTTTATAATGAAATGCAAGCACTCTGTAGACTAACTGTTGTAGTTCATTGATCGGTGTGATTCCTGCTCTTGGAAAAGTGGTTGAATGAAAGATGTGTTTTGTATGGATGTATTCAACTAGTAACCCCTCCCCTGTTGATGGACGTCTGGAATTTGGAGAATAGGAAAATATATATATTTATTGCGTTATTGCAATATTTGACCACGTGTGTGTTTCGATCGTTTATATGTCGTTTTAGTAAAAATAATGATGAAATTCGAGAGCGATTAACAGTTTCATTCATTATATTTTTTCGATCGTATCTACCATGCCTCACGTGTGCTGTGTTTCATATCAAGCACAATTGGATAATTGTCGGGATCATCCAAAAATAGTCCTTTGCTAAAATTATATATGTGCTCGTTTGGGTGTATTGGTATTGGGCGAAGACCGTATTTGTGTGAAGTGTCGTTCGGCCTTTGATTATTGAAGAACAAAATTCGATAGTAGTACGATCAATGATTTTATTGTCAAAAGCAACCAAATGAATGAACTGAGTCTTTTGTTTTTTTGTTTTCTATATTTTGGATTTGCAGGCGATGATGGAAGTGAACGATGATATAGATTTTAATTCTCCGGTTGGAATTCAAACAGAGTCAGTTTGTGGCACGATTGATCTCTATGTTCAGCGAACATCAAATTCACATAGGTGGTTGTTTCCACAGCTTTAATTGTGATGTATATATATATATATATGTATGATTTGCTATTAGATCGTGCGTTGTGTGTGGCTTTAGGAATACCTCACCAATGGAGATATTATCAGATAGTCAACGAACAAGGATCTTCATTAGACGAGGTACTTAAGTATCATCAGGGGCTCGTTGTTGCTCCGATCATGTATATGAAAGTCAGCTTTGTTACAAAGGTCTGTGGCAGATTAATGGCTCCATTTCTGATCGACTGGTTTTTAACTCCAACGAAGTTCAAGGTCTCATGGACGATTTTCGTTCAAGTATTCAATCTTCGAAAAGTTTTGATTTTGATGATTCAACCTGTCTTTTGGATGAATGTTACTTCAATATTACTGGTTTAAAGAATGGTACCCGCCTTAATTAGTTTTATACTTTTTGTTTGCAGTGATCTATAAAAATGGAGGGTGTGGCTGTGGATGTGCGGGAATGGGTGGATGTGGGTTGGTATGTGTGTGGATGTAGGTGTGTGTGGGTGTGGGTGGGTATGGGTGTGTGTGGGTGGGTGTGGGTGGGTGTGGGTGTGGGTGGGTGTGGGTGGGTGTGGGTGGGTGTGGGTGTGTGTGGGTGTGGGTGTGTGTGGGTGTGGGTGTGTGGGTGTGGGTGTGTGTGTGAAACAGCAAGAAGACACACCCACACCCTCAATTGAATGTGTGACATTATTTCCAGCTAAATTTTTGTGAAGATCATCGTGTTGTTGACCGACACGATCCATCTGCTCTCCAAGAACCCGTCGGTGTTCATTAAAATATTTTATACAAAACCATGACTGACATCCACCACACATGATAATGCCTCCACCTTTATCGCATTTGACACAAGGTTGTTTAGATCTAGCTGATGCCATATTTCAATAGCTAGAAGAATATTAAAAAGTTAAAGATTAATACAAATGAATAATAGTATCTCTGTGCTGTGACGACTGTCTTGAAATACAAAGTATATGTTGCACACTTTTCAAAGAAGTATTACAATATATAAAGTATGTTGAGTAACAGAAACGCTACGATACACATATAAGTGATTGTTTGACAAATATAACAGAAAAAATGGTGTATCATGATGGAAAAGAACGAATTAGAATGCGAACGCGATATCTTTTTCTCGAACTTGAAGTGTGTAGCTATCGATGTAATAAACTAGTCGAAAAATGTAGCATTTATGTAATCCATGAGAAGAAGCAATGCAATGGAACCATATTCTGATGTTAACAGTAGAATCGTAAATTCATAAATTGAAAGCTAGAAATCTCTCGATAATTACTAGAATCTGATGTGACCAACTGTTTTCACCTTTGATCTTAATCCTGAGAAGTCCTAGATAGACCTGAGCCAGAATTTAATCTACTTTGAAATAACTTTAGAGAAAACAGTAGCAATGGGCATGATAGCAGGCTATGCAGCAACAAAATTGATCTGATGTAGGATTTGATTCATGAAGCAGAGCCTCTAAGAAATACATTCTCAGAGATATCTCATATCGAGTCGCTACAGCTTTTTCAACTTTCTATTTTTCAAAACGTATGTCTCAATAGCTTGAATTTAAGGTACACAGTTTGAAGTGTTTCGCAGAATGAGATATTCTAGTTTTTAGAAAAACTCCAGTGTTTCAGTGACAACAGATGATTAAATTGAATGTACGGATATTGACTGATAATATCAGTTCTGAGTATTATTTTGCAAAGA